ATTTATAAAGGTTCCGGTTCAAGTTCAGATCAAGAGAGCAGGACGTTAATCGAGCCTTTCCATGCCTAGTACCGGTTTCGGTTAAAGACCATCTTACAACTTAGTTAGAGAGTATCAAGAGCTGAACCAGAGTCCAATTCTTTCAAATCTCATTTGGTTTAACATCCAGAAATCAGTAAGAATCAAAATCTTACAACTTACTTGAAGAGTATCGCCCGAAGCATCGGTCATGCAACGTGGCTCGTTCATCAATTCCCATCCAAAGATGGTGGGATCATCTCTATATTGAATTCCAGTGATAGAGTTCTTTCTTGTCAGGATAGTCTGCAAAACATAGAGCACATTAGAACCAGATACAGGTTCATAAAACCGATGCCTCGTTCGAAAATATGTTGGATGACACACTGTGCTACAACGACAACCTAGCCATAAGGTCAATAAACTCAGAATCCATAGCATATCTTCAGGATGAATACCCAAAACATCAATGTTATGAAAAACATGGGACGAACTCATTGTTAAATATGGAATGTACCTTAATATAGTTCTTAAAGTAAATTCGTATCGATGGATCATAGAAGAAGGAATCATTGGATGAGCTTAAACCAACACCCTCTTGCCATGCCCACTTCACATACTGTGTCTTTCCACCATAGGCCTGCAAGTTGTCGACTAAGCTAAGAAGAAGCCTAATCCCATGTTGTCTTGCTTCTGCAATGACATGATCCAAAGCCTGCCACCAAGAGAACCTGTTAAAACTTGAGCTGATAACAATACAACTTCAACAACACATTCAAGCAAACCAAAGATATCATCAATCCAATACAAATCTGCCTAGACAAAACATATAGACAAGACATATATTTTCCTTGTGTAGCGTTTGGATAATGTGTCGTTTCCCTGGTTTCTTAAACAGAGAGACAGATAGAGAGATTGTAACATTTCAAGTCCACTGTTAGTAAATACTGTCCTCTTTGAGCTTCCCCTTATGGTTTTTAAAACGTGTTTGCTAGAGAGAGGTTCCACACCCTTATAAAGAATGCTTCGTTCCGCTTTTCAACCGATGTGGGATCTCACAATCTATTTCCAGTGTCCTTGCTGGCACACCACCTCATGTCCACCCCCTCACTGGCACATTGTCCAGTGTCTGGCTCTGATGCCATTTGTAACAACCTAAATCCATCACTAGCAGATATTGTCCTCTTTAAGCTTTCCCTTTCGAGCTTCCTCTCAAGGTTTTTAAAACGTGTCGGCTAGGGAGAGGTTTCCACACCCTTATAAAGAATGCTTCGTTCCCCCTCTCTAACCGATGTGAGATCTCACAATCCACCTCCTTTCAAGGTCCTGCACCTGAACTAAAAATTAAAAACTATGGTTCTTCCTTGAATTCTAGACCTCAGTTTATGAACTAAAAACTATATTGTCAAGTAAACAAACAAAACCAGCTTGATCTTTCACAGAAATACAAGTTATAATGCTTTTCAATCAGCTTATTCCATGTTGTTTTATGACTACAGAAACATTTCTGTCGGTGGTAGCACCGAGCTCCCATTCTTTGTCCAATGGAGCCTTTCAACCATGACAGAATCCTCTAAAACAGACATTGAAAGAAACCAATCAAGAATACAGAACCAAAGCATAGGAGAGACCAAGAATCAAACAAGAGTTCAAGAACAGAGACAACAGGAATCTCTCAGATGTATATCAGAAAATGCAGCTCAACATGAAAATCAATACCTTAAAGACACGTTCATTAAACCTGCCGGGAGAAACCTGAAGGGCATTATAACCGCCGTCGTTGAAAGCCCAAGTCCGGCAAACTGTAAGCCCCATCTTCCTCGCCGCCTGCAGCATCGCTCTAACTCTGGGCTTCCTATATTCCTCAACGGCATGGTCCATAAACCAGTAAGAATTCCATCCATTGATATAAAACGCCTTACCATTCACCATGAACTGCGTTCCACTTCTCTCCACAAAGTCCATTTTAAGGGGCTTAGTATCCTCAATCCTCCAGTTCCCAAACGACATGTAAATGAAAGCCAAACAAGATGCAAATCCAAGAATCGGGTAAAACAGCCCATTCCCAGCCATCATTTCCTTTAACGAACACCAAAATCAAAGAATCCAGATGATTATTCAAATCAAAATCAAAGAATCGCTCATACCCAGATGCGATTTCAGAACAAAAAACCTCAAGGAACGAGAATGTCGGCGACCTCAGCCGATCTTATTGCAAACCCAGATCCCTATTTCCTCCACAAGTTAATAACAATCCCACTTCAAGCTAAATACCGTCTCGGATATTGGAAATTTATAAAGAGAGAAAGAACAAAGAGGATATGACAAAAGAAATCACACCAATCAAGGAAAATCAATGAGAGATTAAGCAAAAGAAGCAAAAAGAGGTTGAGATTGAATGAGTATAGTAGAATGTTGGTATCCTTTCGATGGTTTAATTAGATCTACAAACCCTCTCGTTTTTTCTTTTTTTCAAGCTTTTCCTTCACGACCTCAAAAAGCAACCGTCTGGTTCAACCCACGTAAATGGGCAGCCGTTCCCAAATTTCAACAAAACCAGCAGATTAAAATACTCCCGTTTCCTTTTCACCGTTCCCTGATTTGAACATGAAAAGGACAAGTTAAAAAAAAAACCCAACAAATTCTGAAATCTGAATTACTCACATGTAAGAGTTCTTCCTTGTCTCCCACCTTGATTTCGAAATTTCTTTTAAGTTATTGCATTTGCAATAACTTAAAAAAGGAAAAAAAAAACCCAATAAAAATAGACAGCAATTAGAACATTTGCAAATTGAAGACCGAAGAAGATCCAAGGAGCAATTAAACATGGAAGGCTAAAAGAATCCAGCTTCATTTAGTAAATTACTAAGCATTGTTAATTATGGTTAAAGTAATGAAAGAAGAGCCTTAAAATGCTGATTAATTGAGAGGTTCTTGATTAAGAAATGGGGGAATGTAAGGAAATTGAGGCGATTTGGGGTATTAGAGTGGATTTTACTTGATTAATCCGACAAAAATGATGAACTCTAATTTTAAAACATCGATTCTGTTGAGAAAGAGGAACCGAAAACAAAGCAATTATTATTATTTGGAAGAAAGATGTCCACAGGCCCATATCAAAAGGGAAACCCCAAATTAATTAATTAATTATTCTTCAATTATTGTTTTAGAACTAAAAAATTTAAAATCATACCATTTAGGCCTCCTTTTATAAGAACTTCTATTTTAATTTTCTATTTTTTAAATTTGTGCTGATTTTTTTTTTTTTTTTTTTTTTTTTTNCACTGACATTTATATGATCTAGTACTTTGAATTAGTTTGTTGTTCATGTATGAGAACCTCATTCCGTTTCCGATTCTTCAGTAACAATGTTTATCATAAAAGGGTTTGCAAGTCTTATCTTTACTACATAATATCTTTAAAATGTTGGTTGATTAGAAATCAAAATTGTATCCTTGTTGAACTTCGTGATAAAAATGCATAATATTGATGTAGAAATTTGGAGATGACAACGAAGGGGATGCAGGATACATCATAACAATAAGGGAATATTCTGTAAGCCATGTTTGAAGTGTAGAGACTGTATCATAAACATTCAATTTGATTAATCACCTTCCAAACTTATGAAATTGTTACAAATAAACCCTCCCATTATAATACCATTAGTGACATATGGCAAACTGGACAAACGACCCTTGAACATTAAGGATTGTTACAATCAAACCTCGAACTACTATAGGATTGTTACAATTTAGCTTAAGTTTTTAATTCTACCAAGTTTGAAAACATTAACTATAATGTTAGCCTTAAATTTTTTTTTTTTTTTTTTTTTTTTTTTTGAAATCTGTTTAGCTTAACTTTTATTTATTTTTATTTGAGTTGGATTGAATTTTTTTAGTCGGGTTAACCCGATCAACTGAAAAAGTTACATCCCAACTCTACTTTTAAGATTAGATGTTTGTAGCCGATATTAGTGATACGTCCTGACTTATGACGGATTGATATTTGAGTATTTTGGTTATTAACGTAACCCAAATCAATCTGACAACAGAAAAACTTGAATTGAGTTGGATTGGGAACTCTATTCAAGTAACTCGGGTCAAGAACTTTTTGGAAGTGATTAATTTAAGGTAAAGCTACCGACATCTGCTATAACAAAAATAGAAGTTGTACCAACTTTATTCTAAATTAATTTGGTAAAAGGCTTTTCAAATGCTTAACCAAACAATAATTAGATTTGGTCACTGATGTTATATTTAATAATATGTGTATTTCTGGCTAAATTATCATAATCCCTACTTCCAAAATTTGGTCAGAGATTTAATCGTAAACTATTTGGTGGACCTAATCTTACCTCTCCCTTTCTTATATGTTATAGGGTTAGATTAATCAATTTAGATTCCGTTCGAGTTTTATTTGGAGAGGTGGAAGGAATCACGACTAGCAAACACTCTGTTGCTTGCCTTGTACATCCTGACCATTGTCTTACATTTTCTGTTTTCAAGATTGACTATTGAAAATACCCCGTAAGTAGTTTCTCGGGATTAAATATACAAAGACATATAGCAAGATCATAGAAGGTACATTTTGAGACCTGAATATGGTATGTATAAATATGTCATTTTCTTTTCTTGTGGCCTAATTGTGAGATCTCATATCGGTTGGAGAGGAGAACGAAACATTTCTTAGAAAAGTGTAGAAACCTCTCTCTCGTAGATGCATTTTAAAACCTTAAGCTCAGAAGGAAAAGCCCAAAAAGAACAATATATATTAGCGGTGGACTTGAGTTTTTACAAATAGTATAGAGCCAATTATCGGGCGGTATGCCAGCAATGCTAAAACTAATAGACCATTATCCTATGTTTTGAATTATCCCAATTATCTCGTAATGCTAAAACAAGTATCACGAAAGATCATACTTCAACGGATAAGAATTGGCATCCAATCAATGACATCAAACCAAACATATCACAACACCTCAGGAAAATAAATAGTTAACCGCCACAATTATATGATTGATATAACATCGTATACAATCAGTGCATGCACAACCACCTCAAAACCTCGCGAAAAAACACTAATTCTTAAAGCCATGGCATCCATGTTAGACAAGAACAGATCATTAACAACAAGAAACAGTGGTTCCACTCAATAATTATGATCTAGAAAGAAAGGCACCAAACAAAAAGTGAATAAAAAACAAACCCCAAAAATATAATAGCAACCTCATTTAAGCTTATCTACTTCTCCACCAAACGCCAACAACTTGATCCTTAGACAATCACCAATCCCAAGCGGCATAATAATGAGCAACGGGCAGGGATGGACCCCAAGCTACCGCCAAGCAGCCCAAAGCAGCACCGCAAAGGCCACCCAAAACCTTGCCTTCCTTCAACAAGACCTTCACCACAAGCCCCACCATTATCTCTTTACTAATCTTCCTCCCCTCCGCCACCACCCTCCGCCTCGACCGCCCAATCAGCACCAACAAAACCACCACCGTGATCCACGTTACCACCGCCGCAGCCGCTGCCATAGCCAAGCAAACCAACAAGCCACCCACCACAACCAAACTGCAATAATGCCCCAATTGCACCAAACAAAATGCAACCACTCCACACCCCAACGCTGCAGCCCACAATTGTGGTCGGAAAAATGGCGCCTTTCTTGCTCCTTCCATCTGGGTTTGGTGGGTTTTTAGGAAAATTGGAAGTGGGGTTCTGAAAGTGTTGAAGAGATTTATGAGTATACCCCTAAAGAAAGCAATAATTGTGTCATTAATTGGGGCAGCGATGTTGCAGAGCATAGTGTAAGTTTTGTAGCTGTGGATGAGCTTTGTTTTTATGTTTTTAGGTTAACTTTTCTTCTATCGAAATGGTCCACCTTCCACTACTTTTTTTTTTCATATAATTTTTTTTGGATGAAATTAACCCGTTCTACTATTTTTCGTCAAAATGGGAGTTTCAGTTGTCTACAACATTTCTGTCAGATGAACACGACCCTCCACAATGGTATGATATTGTCATAAGCTCTCATGACTTTCATTTGAGTTTTCCAAAAGGCCTCAAAGAGAGAGTATATCTTAATTATTTATCCCCACTATTATTCCCGAGGGACTTTCATCATCCAACAATGTACACGGGCAGGGTAGGGACGGAAAGACTTTCACATCTTCATCCTCGCCATCTATTTCATTTTTCGGTTCCTGTGAAATTCTCTTTTTTATTGTTTATTATTTTTTTTTAAAAAAAACTTTTTAATGCATACATTTTATTTTTCAATATTATTAATTGGGTTGATTCACTCATGTATTAGAAATTGGAATTAGAACCGCTTGTAAAATCATTTCACTTCCAATATAAAATTAATCTATGTTTAAATTACGAGAAATAAAATTTGATAACACAATTTTTAAAAGGGAAGAAAAACACCATAAAAATAGTCAACATTGAACGAGAATCTCGGCATGGTTCAAAAGAGTCACCACAAATTAAATGGATATCTCTCCCTTTATAATAGTCAACATTATGCAGAAGGTCGTTGAGTCGATATTACATTTTTAAATTCGATTTAAACGCTGACATTTTTATTTAAAATTTATATCTCAATTATTAAATATGTTTAAGTGAATAAGGTAATTCGATAATGACTTTTTGATAGGTGGCAGTTAACCCACCGCAACAATATAATAATTTGAGAAAATATTAAAGAAATAATATTTTTACGAGATTAATAATAATATTGAGTCAAAAATTTGAAAAATTAAATTGGCTTCAATTCTATAATTAATTGTATAAATATACTTTAAGCTTTGAGCCTTCGTGGGCTAAGCCCATGGGCCTCAACAAAATTAAAATCAATAAAGTTTAGGATTTAATTTAAAATTTTTAAAATAAATAGAAAAATAAAAATCAATGGCCCCAAGAGAGTAACCACACAGTTGACTATGATGAGAGGACAGCCAATAAGGGTTAAAAATTCAGCATATGTTGACCTCAATTATTCAAACATAAATGACCCATACTTCAGTCTAACCTATCTTATCCTTTTCTAAAATGTCTATAATTGTAATTTTACTTCCATTTTCTTGAACCGACCTCCATTCTCTCCTTATCTCTACTCGACTAAGCTAAGAAATTACTGAAAATGTCTCGAAATTACAAATAAAAGAAAGTTGTGGCAATTAGAAATATTGTGTTTCGTGCCGGTACGAGTTTTGGTCTTTAGACTACATTTATCGAGACTGCCTAAATTGTCACCATTTTTTCGTTCTTCGAATGACGCTAGTGGAGATAAATTTCTTATGGAAGGCTGAAAAATTATTTTTGGACCAACTCGAAATTTTAAGTTGTTGAATTGGTAACTCGAATGACTGGAATAAGGTTCACAATTCAGCCCAACTCAGCCCTCTATTTCTTTAAATTAGGTTGAGTTAGAGTAGACTCATGGTATTTTTTAATTATTAAAAAATCATATTTGTGTGTCCACCTCACGAACAGCTAAAATAAATTCATTTCTCCTGACTTTTTGGCAGAAATTAATTCTCGAATTATTTATTTTAAAATAAATATAACAGTCCATTATTACTCAATATTTATTAATCTCGCACAGAATATTAAAATATTATATTTTTAAATAAAAATATATAATAATCTAAAATTTGAAATTTTGAAGGAGAAAATTTGATTTTTGAAAGAAAAAATCAGAAATTTGACCATTTGTAAATAATATTAGAAAATTTGGATTAATTGACCAATTTTGATTGGTTGATAATTTTTCATCAAATACATAATTATATTAGAATGGAATAAATCAATAATTATTATGATGCTGTATTTATATTCGTAAATCATTTAAACAATTAATTAAAAAAAAATAGTAATTTTTACTACCCCAAACTATACTCTTTTTAATAGTCCTACATGTTGGGATATTTCAACATGAGGGTAGGTCAGCTACTAATGCATGTCCAACCATTACAGCTTTCTCGTCGTCCCCCCATTTTATACGAAATCGAAATCTCGGTATCATTATAAGTTTAAACGTAACTTTATGAATCAGTCACTTACCTAACTACTATTATCTTAATGTAGTTAAACGGTAATATATTAACCTTCAAAAGTAATCAAGTTCACCGCTAGTAGATATTGTCCGCTTTAGCACAATACGTATCAATGTCAGCCTCGCGTCTGTTAGAGAGAGATTTTTACATCCTTACAAGAAATGTTTCGCCCACCGCTAGCATATATTGTCTGCTTTTGTCTATTACGTATCACTGTCAGCCTCGTGGTTTTAAAACGTGACTGTTAGGTCGGTTTTCACATTCTTATAAGAAATGTTTCGTTCCCCTCTCCAACTGATTGTGGGACCTCACAATCTACCCCTTGGGCTCAACGACGCTGGCACACTACCCGGTGTCTGGCACTGATGCCATTTGTAACAGTCAAATCCCACCGTTAGCAAATGTTGTCCGCTTTAGCCCGTTACGTATCATCGTCAACCTCACGATTTTAAAACGTGATTGTTAGGGAGAGGTTTCTACATCCTTATAAAGAATGTTTCGTTCATCTCTCCAACCGATGTGAGATCTCACAATCCACTCCCATGGGGCCTAGCGACGCTAGCAAACCGCCCATAGCACACCGCCCGATGTCTGACTAGGATACTATTTATAACAATTCAAGTCCACTCTTAGGAGATATTGTTCATTTTGACCCATTACATGATCATAGTTTTAAAACGGAAAGTTTCATTACCCTCTTCAATCAATATGGGTTCTCAATCAAGTGCAAAATCGAACTTGGTCCGTTATTCAATTCAATTAAGTATCCATTCGGTTAATTATACTCGAGATTTAAATTTATTAAAATAGGCAATAACTATTATACAACTTAACGTCAGTCCAGTCCCGTAGAATAGTTATGTCTGCCGGGGAATAGTGAGAGTGATATCTGTTCTGGGGGGGGGGGGGGGGGGATTATTGATTAGGAATGGGTTATGTTTAGTGTTTAAGAAGCGAATAGACGGTGATTAATGGCGGATTTGGAAGAGAAAGAAGGAAGAAGAAGAAGCAGAGAGCGTGGGGTTAGTGTTAGTTCAATCCATGAGCGTTGAATCAATGCTGTATTCATAAAATCTCAACGACCTCTTTGAAAATCCAATACCCAATACGCCAACTGCTTCCTAACACCTTCGCCCTCATCTCATCGCACATCATCCGGACACTGCGCCTCTCAATTCGCCTGTAATTTTCTTCTCATTAATGACTCTCTTAATTTCTCCCTGCCCCATTATTCTTTGACATTTTGAATTCTGTTTTCCCCTTTCTAGACGCCTTCCTTTGTTTTCTTCTGATTATTCTTCGCTTTTCACCACTCAACTTCATGTTTTAATTCATTTCTACTGCTTTGAACGAGTCCATGATCCATTGATTCCACTGTTTATGATGTTTATCCCTTTGAATTTCTTTTTCGTTTGCGCTTTTAGATTACGGATGTCTTTTTTGACACTTCAACACTTTTTGAAGTTTTATCTCCGCATCTTCAACCTCCTACTTTTGAGGATTTGAATAGTAAGAGTGGGACTGCTTGATACTTCTGTTCTAGATTCGTTCTTGAATAAGAACACGAGGCATTGGGTTGAGTTTTGATTTGGGGGTGAAGGGTTTCTTTCATTCTAGGAAACGAAGGGATTTGTATATGTGAAATTTAATCTTGACTTGTTCTTGTTTGGTTTGCAATATGGGCTGTATCTGTTCTAAGGTTCTAGCGGATGAGTGTAGTGACCAGGAATATGATATCTCCAAAAGAGCTTATTCCGCCAGAAATCATCTCTCTGAATTGAAAATTTCAGGAGCTGGCTCTCTGAAACTGGAGAAGAATTGGGAAAATGATAGACTGGATTGTGGTGATGTTAAAGTTATGTTGTTTGATTCGAAGGTAAATGGTGAAGTTCCTGAGATCCCTGATGCTACCATTGTCAATCATCCATGTATGGCAAAGATTCCAAAGGCTATTGAGGCCGAGCAGGTCGCTGCCGGGTGGCCGAGTTGGCTGGCTATGGCGGCTGGTGAGGCTATCAAAGACTGGTTGCCAAAACGTGCAAATAACTTCATCAAGCTTGAGAAAGTATGCTCTCTCTTTGAGACTTTTAACTTACTAGCTGAAAGATGTTCTTGTTTCTTATATGTCATTCTTGCAGATTGGGCAGGGAACTTATAGCAGCGTGTATAAAGCTCGTGATATCGTTCGAGATAAAGTTGTGGCGTTGAAAAGGGTCACGTTCGACAATCAAGATACCGAGAGTATCAAGTTTATGGCAAGGGAAATCCTTGTTTTGCGAAGGCTTGATCATCCAAATATAGTTAAGTTGGAAGGTTTGATCATATCACAAGCATCATGTACCATGTATCTTGTTTTTGAATATATGGAACATGATCTTACTGGACTTGCATCACGCCCTGGCACGTCGTTCACCGAACCACAGGTAGCGTTGTAGCTCACAAATAGTAGTGATCCAACCATAACTTTATGTCTATAAGAAATTTGATTATAAATTTTGAGCCCTTTCCGCCCTGTTTCAGATGAAGTGTTACATGAAGCAACTTTTGAGTGGACTTAATCACTGTCACAGCAATGGGGTTTTGCATCGAGACATAAAGGGCTCGAATCTTCTTATCGACAACAATGGCGTTTTGAAGATAGCGGATTTCGGGTTGTCAGTTTTCTTTGATTCACAGTCGACAGTTCCCATGACGAGTCGTGTAGTAACTCTCTGGTATCGACCACCGGAGCTTTTACTCGGAGCATCTCAATATGGAGCTGAAGTTGATTTATGGAGCGCTGGTTGCATTCTAGGAGAGTTATATGCAGGCAAGCCTATCTTGCCAGGAAAAACAGAGGTGAGATTGTCTTCCCGCCTTCAAATATGAACCGTTTAGATCGATCAAATGTCGCCTTCAATGTTTTTATTCCACGTTTCAGGTTGAACAACTACACAAGATATTTAAGCTATGTGGTTCCCCCTCCAAGGAATATTGGAACAATTCGCACTTGAAGCATTCAGCAAGCATGAAGCCTCCACAGGCGTACGAAAGATGTCTTCGAGAACAATATAACGATTTGCCTCGTGCTGCTGTTGAGCTTATGGACACTTTGCTGTCTATCGATCCTGCAGGGCGAGGAACTGCGGCGTCTGCACTCAACAGTGAGGTACATAACATTTCTTACTCTGTAAAATCCCATTATCCAACAAGATTCAATTCAGTTGAAACTGGAAAGTGATGATATTCATCCTCCAAAACAATGGTTCTATTCCAACAGTTCTTTACCACAAGGCCTTTACCATGCGATCCTTCAAGTTTGCCAAAATATCCTCCCAGCAAAGAGATCGACTCGAAAATGCGCGAAGAGGAAGCAAGGAGGTAAAATATATAGGAAAATTAATAATTAGCTTCAGCTTCACCTTTTGCAGACTCTTAGTTCTATATTTTACGCAGGCAACGAGTAGTATTCGGTGGAAAAAACCGAACAATTGACTCGGAAACGAAAGGACTGAAGCAATCATGGGTAGTTCCTTCAGCTAAGGCGAACGCTGAGTTGGTTATGTCACTATTGGTAAACTCCAAATGAAGTTTGTAATTTATATATCATCAGTTGCCTTTCTGCTTCAGAAGTTATCATCTCAGTCTTTTAATTTTCTTCATCTATTTGATTTCTTTGGATTATAGAGAAAACAAAGTCGTTCGAGCTCGACGTGTTCTTACAGTTTGGTGTCCAAGAGAACCTCAAATTCAGGACCTATAACTCAGGGACCAAGATTTCCAAACTCCAAAAGGGAGAAACATATTTCTATGATTCCGAGCGAGTATCTAACGTCGTCTGGTTCTATTGAATTTGCTTCTTACAAACATGTCGAAGAAGGAAAGCGAGCTCCAAAGCCAGAATCGTCGAGTCAAGACAAAAGCTCTGCAGACGAGCTCATCAAAAAGCTGCACAGAGACCAACTTGGCTCTTGTAAGTTGGAACATTCGAAAGCGTCAGCTCTGATAGTTAGCTAAAGTTCTCCATTTGTTCACGATGCCATTTCACTTGAAAGCTCTCGGGTTCGTCAAACATGGAAACAGGGAACACTTTTACTTTTCAGCATCGTTTAGAGTCGAAAGCAAAAATCAAAGTTTATGTGATGTAGATAGGAAACTGAACCATCGTGTTTAAGCTGGGGAAAGATTTAGGTGTCGGGCTTCCTAGAAGAGAAGGAAAGAACAAAGAAACAGGAGGCGACAATCATTTTTGTTCATTGAGCTATGTATATAAAATGCCAATCTCGTCTTTGTATGTATAATGTATTATAAATTCATTGTAAACAATAGAGCCCAAAAATGAAAAAATGTGGTGAGCGTGTTACATGCGACCTTCAGATCTTTAGTCTGACGCTCTCCCAACTGAACTATCCCCACTTGATAGTTTTGTGTCTGGCTTTATTATTATTATTTTTTAATGAGACTCATGGAAAGCTTTACTATTGACAAAAGTCTTTTAAAGTTTTGTTTATGATACCTAGAAAAGATTGTCTCGGAAAAGAATATCTCGCTAACGCTAAGTTGGTTATGTAACTATTGGTACTCGTAAACTACAAATGAAGTTTGTAATTTATAAATGATCGTCTTTCTGCTCTTGAAGTTATTATCTCACTCTCTTTATTTTCTTCATCTATTTGATTTTTGGGTTATAGAGAAAACAAAGTCGTTCGAGCTTGAAGTATCAGAGTGAAACATGTTGCGACAATCGAATAAAGAAGGGGTACACGAATAAACCATGACGACATCCGAATAAGAACAATATTGAGGATAGGATGACTAAGAATAACTTAAAAGAATGGAAGGTTAATATTTATATATACAAGGTGCACGTTCCCGTTTTGGTGGGCTCAATCATAAGAACTCTAAAGTTAAGGATGTTTTACTTGGACAAATTTTATATTAGATGATCTATTGGAAATTTTCTTTGGAAACATATAGAAATGACCCGTGTTGGTATGTACGAATAGTCTTCACGCTTAAAAGAATAAAGGAGGAAATAACGTGAACTTTAGATGTTCAGTCTATCGCTCTTCCAACTGAGTTATCCCTGCTTGATATCTAACGTCATTTCAAAGAAGAAAATGGAGTTCCAAAGTAAGAATTAACAAGTCGAGACAAAATGCTTCCTTTATCCAACTCGGAACAAGAATTGATCAAAATATTGAACGTTCAAAAGCCTCAGCTCTAATAGTTAGCTAAACTTCTCACATCACGACACCATTTCACTCGAAGGCTCTCGAGTTAATCAAACAAGAAAAAACTGTAGGGACGTGTTTTTATTGATAAATATATTAAATTCATCAAACTTTCACATCTTTATAACAAATTTAACAAAATAAAAACAAGTAACTTTCACAATGATATGATATTATCTACTTTAAGTATAATTCTCTTACGGCTTACTTTTTGGTTTCTCCGAAATGCCGTATACCAATAGAGATAGTGTTGCTTATTTCTATACTCACTAATCTTCTCTTTAATTAGCTAATATCGAACTCCAACCATTTTCAATACACAAAGAACGACAGAAAATTGAAGTATGAAATGGAATTGAAATTTCAAGGTTCCAGTAGTACATTTTTGTTGGCTATGATATTAGAAAAAAACAAAACAAATAGTTTCGTTGGATCGTGTGATCTTCAAAGTACAAAATCAAAGACTTTCCAGACCAAAAAAATTTAAGTTTATGTGAGGAAGATTCCATCCAACTGGTACCACCTGCCTCTCATGCCTTTATTCCTTGATGGCTCCTTGGCGTACTTGCACTACCGACCATTTGGAGTGATTCCAAACTTATTGTTGTTCACACCTCATTTCCATACAAATAACATGTTTACGTAACACATCCACATTCCGTTTAGGGTTAACTCGTTCTATGTCGAGAGAGAGGATGGAGGAAGTTTTCTCTGTGTTGGCTACACGGGATGGAGACTGGATTATATTCCACGTCTCTTGTCTCCACCCACTTAGAACTTGTGTTTATTGAACATTATGGGGATTTCTCACTCCAATTCATACAAAAATAAATGAAAAAGAACGAAGCATTTCTAATAAATGTGTGGAAATCTCTCCGTAGTAGAGGTGCTTTAAACCCTGTGAGGCTGATGACAATATACGTTACGGGCCAAAACAGACAATATCTGCTAGCGGTGAGCTTGAATATAGAGAAGTCTTCTTTGTCTTCATCCTACCTCGTGGACATCTCTAGGCATGTGTAAATGACGGCTAATAGCGATACGTAACGAGCCAAAACAGACAATATATGCTATCGAAAGACTTAGGAATAGAGAAGTCTTCTTCGTCTCTGTCCTACTCCATGGACATTTCTACAGATATCTCTAGACACGTGTAAATGTCTCGAGAGTTGATATTATTTTAAGTGTTTTTATTATTATTATTATAAAAAAAAAAGCTATAAATCAAGTTTCGTAACGGTAATTCTAAGGATTCCCGATGTCTACAGCTATCGAAAAACACCTTTACGTAATTTGATAAGCTTGTGATTTTATGTTGTGTTTCACTCTTCCACGCCTTCATAACTAGTCTAGTCTTCCATTCATTTTATTCTGGGTTGGATGGATCCCGTGCATGATCCATAGAGAGTCTTGATTGTCAACTATATCCCCGATTCTTACACGACTCGGCTTATTCTTTGAGCCATGCTTCTCCCTTCCCGCTCTTCTCGTTTTGCCTTTCAGAACAATGTCATATGGAGTATAATCGAGTGGTAGGACATCACTATTTCATTCCTGATGATACAAAAGCATAGTTTTAAAAAACACAAACTCTTACTCCTAATACCCATCGTTAAAGTTTTTAATATCGTTGTTTATAAAATATCAACCGACATCTGAGTTATAAATTGTTGTAATGGATATATCTTTTTCTCTCTTACATCTAATGGTATAATACCGTTAATCCAATCATGGCATAATAAATAAAACACAAATTACGATTACAAACGTTGATGGTTCCTGATCCTTCGTTACAAACTTCTATTTCCCATCGTTTACTACCATATACAACACGTCCAAGACAAACATGATCAAATTTGTCACTAATAGTCACGATCCTATTATGGATAATAAATGGTTCACTATGTCTGCTAAAGGATTCCAAAACTAGAACGCAGCCCACAAGTTTTTTAGTCCAATAGAAATTGTTGCAAGACTAAATAAGATTCTACTTTGACCATAATAGTCACGATCCTATTTTTTTCAACTGTGCGGCGTCGTGATTTTAGCACACTCACAATCAGTCTTAAGGAGAATTAAGCTCCATATATATTTTTTGCTCCGACTTTGTGGCTTTTCGAACCTTAGGTGAGATTTGTTTTCGTCAGCCGAACAACGTTTGTGTGGAATCTAAGCTTGTTCGACCACACATGCCGCCTGCCCCTCTCTCTAACTAGAGTGAAAGAATCAAAGCTTATTGGCTTTGTATGCACTAAATTGATTGTGCACCGACCAGATCGTGAGCTAAACCAACTACTCACACAAAGAAACATAGATCATTTGACTACAGCTTGAAATCTTGAAATCTAGAACCTGAAATCAAAGGAAAACAACGTGAAATCAATTTTCCATCATCGATCCTTGATGTTGCACGGGGTCCCCAATACGTACTCATCCGAGCTCTACGTGCAGCAAGCAGCGAGAACACAAATACAACCGCCAAAAAGAAGGCACGAGAAGAAGTTCACGTGGAAGTCAATCGAACATGACACGATCATAATGGAAACAATCCAATAAAGATGAAACGAAAACCTCTCTTCAATCTATTCAATCAGTTAGTATCATACAATTCACACTCTCGATCTAGACGAAAAACTCAACAGCGGCTCGGGTTTATTTATAGATAACCCAAATTACTTACCTATTAAGAAAATTGAGAAATGTAAACATAGAAAATTAAGACCATTATGTGAAAAAGCGACTAGTCAAAGGCCACATATTTTATAGAACATGTCGTCATAAGCAAGAACAACGCGTTTAGTTACAAAAAAAACAGCCTCCATAATGTCTTTATTTCCTGTTCTTTTAATTATTATTTTCCACGATGATGACCGACCGCGCATAAGTCAATTAATCAAAGAAATTCATGAACTTACCCACGTGCGCCAGCTCCTTAATAGACCGCCGCAATTATCCTGTAGCTAAAGTGCGCCGTTGATCACTTCTTCCATTTTCAACGACTAAATTTCTCCATATAAATACTCTCCCGTTTAAATCAGTTTCTAGGAATTCGATTTTGATCATTCCATGGAGAGTAATCGCGAAGCAGGGAATCAACAAAATCAACAAACTGTTAATACCAACAAGGTTGAAAGAAAAGTTATGGAGAAAAATCGAAGAAACCAGATGAAATTGCTCTATTCCAACCTCAATTCTCTCCTCCCACCCAATAAATCCACGGTTTGTTTCAATTTTTTGATGTAATTAAGGTTTTTAACGTTTGTTCTCAAATGGGTTCTCATCAATATTTGAAATTTTTGTAGGATTCGCCATTGACTGTGTCGGATCAGATAGAGGAAGCCATTAAGTACATAAAATCACTTGAGATGAAGCTGCAGAAGTGCAAGGAGAAGAAGGAGAGAATTCTGGCAAGTTTGAATATGTCGTCGGCGCCATCGGACAGAGCGTCGACGAATAATAACTCGCCTGAATTGAGAATCAAAGAGATGGGTTCGATTGTGGAGGTTGTTTTCAAAAGAGGGTTTGAGGATCAGTCTTTGTTTGATGAGCTTATTGGCGTCTTTCATGAGGAGCGAGCGGAGATCATTAATCTTAATTATTCCATTCACGAGGACATGCTCTTGTATTCAATCCATGCAGAGGTATGTTGATCGTAATTATCGGTTTAAGCTTTTGAATGTAGGTTTATAAGTAAAGAATACATCTCCACTGGTACGAAGCCTTTTAAGGAAGTCCAAAGCAAAATCACGAGAATTTATGCTTAAAATGGACAATATCATACCATTGTGGAGATCTGTGATTCCTAACATAGTATCAAAGTCATGCCCTTAACTTAGCCCTGTCAATAGAATCCTTAAATGTCGAACAAAGAAAGTTATGAGCCTCGGAGGTGTAGTCAAAAGTGACTCAAGTGTCGAACAAAACGTGTACTTTGTTCGAGGACTCTAGAGAAAGAGTCGAGCCTCAATTAAGGGAGGTTATTCGAGGCTTCCATAAGCCTCGTGGGAGGCTCTATAGTGTACTTTGTTCGAGGGAAGGATTGTAGGTTTATAAGTAAGGGATACATCTCCATTGGTACGAGGTCTTTTGGGG